CTCAAGCTTTCTATTGAGCTTTAATCAAGCTTTTTTATGAACCTTAAACGATATTATTCATAATTATAAATAAGCTAGGCAATAAAGTTCAAGCCCACTCATTTAACAATTGAGTATTTGCAAAATATATTCAAATTTGTTCAATTAGTTAATCAAACAAACATTTCATCAACAGATTTTTAAATAGGAGGTAAGAATAATTTTCAAAAATAATCAACATCATGAACATATTAACTATCTATAGGGAAGATAAACATGATAAACCAAAATTTAATCATAATATAAGATTCATTTTTACAAATTGAAAATGTTAGTATTTGATATGATATTTGTTTATTTTATATCTACTAACTATCATATTAATGTTTCTAAGATAACTGACATAACAATATATAAAAGAATTTATACAAAAATTATGAAATTTCTTACAAGATGTTTCTTGTAAAAGTTTTGATTTCCATCCATTGAGTCATACAAATAAATATTTTCCAATCATAAGAGATTCTTAATTTTAAGATCATAATAACAATCAAGAACAACTACTTGTTCCCTTACCTTTAGTAATTTAGACCAACTACCTCAATATTAACTATTTTTGGCCACTTGTTGGAACTTTATCAAAATTTGGAACTTCATTGAGAAAAGAAATACATTATTTTAGGTTACAAACATAAGATTCAATCCCAATGAAAATTATACAATTAAATGTCAAAATACCCTAATTGTATTAAGTTGAGTAAAAAATAATTGAATATTCTTTAAGAACACTAATCTTAAAATAAATTTAATAATTTTTTCGCCTGTCTTAATATAAGGATATAATGACATAAATTTATTCTATTCACATCGTCAAAGTTAGGGTTATAATATTATTAAGTTGATTGGGATAACAAAATTTCCAATGGGTTAGAACTTGGGTCATAACTCATTAAGAGTGCTCTTATCTTCAATGCATAGCCCGACATTCAATGCAAGTCGAAGCATATGGTTACTTGGATAGTTGAATGCTATTAATGAGAATAGTAATTCACTTTTATTTAACAATAGGGTCGGGAGATTTCTTGGTTCATCATGTTATTGCTCCGGGTTTACATACAACTACATTGATTTTAGTAAAATGTGTTTTAAATGAGCGTGGTTCCAAGTTAATGTCAGATAAAAAAAATTCGGTTATAATTATCCTTGCAATGGCCCCAAGCGTGGCGGTACTTATTATATTTTTGCTTGGGACGCATTTTCTTTGATAGTTTTCTATATGCTAAATACCATTGGATGGGTTACTTTTTATTGGCATTGGAAACACATTACATTATGGCAGGGTAACGTTTCACAATTTAATGAATCCTCCACTTATTTGATGGGATGGTTAAGAGATTATCTATGGTTAAACTCTTCACAACTTATAAATGGATATAACCCTTTTGGTATGAATAGTTTATCGGTCTGGGCGTGGATGATTCTTTAGCATATATTATTTTCTTATTGTTGTTATTCACATATTGACAAAAATGTTTGAAACATCTTATCCTCTTTATATCTAAATTTGTCAGTTTGGATTCAAATATCAAATTTAAGATCAACCACATTATAACCCAATACAATTATGCTCCACATAAATTTAGGCTTTGTTTGGGATGCCTTTTTAACTACTTTATAAATCAATTTTTTTTTACAAAAATTTCTTAAACTAAAAAAAATTGTACTAGAAAAGTGCTTCAAAAAGTAAAAAGCCGTCAAAAATAAAACCTTTGATTATATGATACATATCAAAGTTTAACACCCCTTATTATTTAAGGCATAAAAGGACCCTACCGGACACAATCCTCATTCATACTTCATATTAGTCTAATTTGTTGCACTAAATCAAGCATATGCTATCAACAAGGGGTGTCAAAATTAACCCAACACAAAAAATCCTATTCGAACTTGACCCGGATTTCTCGGGTTAGGGTCAACATGTTTTAAGAATGGGTTAGGTTCAGGTCCCGAATTTCGACCCGTTTTAAATTATGGGTTAGGTTCGGGTCAACCCGAAAACCCAATTTGGACCCGCTGCACCACACGTATTCATACACTACATGAAAATTACTAATTTCCGACATCATTTTCCGGCAGCTTTCCGGTGGTAACTTTTCCGGCGGCTTTCTAGCGCTTTTCCGACATAAAACAATGAAATGAATTTTTCAACGAAATTTTTCGGTGGTTTCCTTCCCACTGAATTTTCAGATGGCTTTTTCGGCGGCTTTTTCAATTTTCCTGCGGAATTTTAAAATTTAATTAAAATGATTAAAATTTTAACTATTTAAATGATTTAACAAAAAGTATTAAAATTATATTAACTATTTAATTAATTTTCATTTTTAAGTTAATTAGTTAGTTAATTTTTATTTTATATTAATTATCATTTTTTATTTTAAATAATTAGTTTCATTTTTTAGTATAATTAAAAACTACTTGATTGTCGATTCGAAAATAATTTAAATAAAAAAATTGACATTAAAAACGTATTTGCATGTTCAACAATTCGGTTGGTTGTTTGAGAATTCTCCCAACTGACCTTTGTTCGAATCTCATGGCAGGCGCGGGAGCGGGTGCACACGAGCGCCCACGGGCTGGCTCGACCCCCGCGCACACACGGGCTGGTGCAACCCGCGCACACGCGAGCGCTCACGAGCTGGACGGAGCGGGGGCGCTGGCGGGCCGCCGCGAAAGGTTACTGGGCTAGCTGGCGGGAGTAGGGTGGTGGGAGCGGCAGGGGGGATGACGCGTGAGCATTTTTTTTTAAAATTTGACCGGCGGTTTACGTCCGCCGGAAAGCCACCGGAATTATTTGCCGCCGGTATTTATTTTCCTACGCGGTTTTTCCCAGCGGAATTTTTTCCGTCGTTAAATTAGAAATCCACCGGAAAATGCCACCGGAAATGGGTGATTTTCCTGTAGTGGTAGACTGCCGCTCAATTTAGGTTTAGCCTAATATGCTGCGAATATTCTTTATTTCATTTCGAGTCTTTGATGTTGGGAGCTCTTGCCTGTCAGTTTCGCCTCTGGCTTTGGCTTCCTACCTTCCCCTCCTCTACCTCCAACCCAGAGCTCTCTTGGGTTCCACTATTAGTTTATCTTAATCCTGTATTGTGCACTCTATGCCTTTGTGGTATTATCATTTTTATATTTCTGAGATTTGCCACTTACATTTTAGGTATTTTACTAATTCTTTTTTTATTTGATGTTACTGTCAATTTGTGATTTCTTCCTCCCTATTTAAACTAGTTTGGATTTTGGGTTTTCAGTCTTTGACTTTTTGCATTGAAGGCTTTGACATGTCGATAAGTGCATCATTTTTTCCATTTTTTTCATTGAATTTTAGGTCTTTGTATTTTTTAGTGTTATTTAGTTTTGTTGTTAAAGGATTGTACTCCTTTTTGCATGTTTAGTTGGCCTATTGGCCTGTGGCTGTGGGCTGTTGTTGAATCTGAACTTATAATGCTTCATCAATTCATCTATTTGATGAATTAAGATATGAAAACTCAAGCAATGATGAGAAATCTTCTAAACTGAAAGTGAGAGCCATTTGGGGTAAATACTATTGCAACCAGGTTGCATTTGTGTTAGCTTAGATCAATAACATATACTATATTATTTAACATATACCAAATTAAGCTTAATGCAAATGGCTGCCTTGGATGATAATAGAAAATTAAAAATATCAAATATTTATTATTTCCTCACTTTTCATTAGTTGTTGAATGAGTTGGAGAGTTTACTAAGCTGTTTTTTAAAGCTTTCTAGTTTATGCTATCTTCATGAATTAGAATTTTATTTGTTTAAGACTTTTACGTGTTTAACCATCTTCCTTTTACAATTAATTCAACCTAAAGAATAGGAGGGTTTATGATATCTTGAACTTTTTGCTGAATTAGTTGGACCTATAATTTGATAATTTCAATAGTTTAGTTTCTAATTTATGCTTGAGTTGTTAAGTCCGTAATTTAAGTTTATTTGCAAATTGTAATGTATTATGAATTATGTAAAAATGTAACATTGTAAACAATTTATACACTGTTATTAATTTTTTAATGTATAATTTTACCTGTTAAATGTTGATGTTAAATACATAAGTTTAATCATGTAGATCGATATAATTACTGAATTGGTTTCGAGTCGAGTCGTGTTGATCCGAACCTAAATCATTTCGGGTTCATGTTGGAAAAAGTGACATGAATCCTAAACTGGATCGGGTCAAAAGCTGGTGGGTCAAATTCGAGTTGGACCTAAATCAATCCAACCCGTAGACACGATTTGACATGACTGGTTGCTGATTTTTTGTTCCATGTGATCCAATAGTACATGTTTCTTTCATGTCAACGCTCTTCACTGCTGTGGAGATCCTTAAAGCAGCAGTATGCTCGTTCAATAGTATCACAAGCTTGTCAATGCCTATAAAAACATTTCATGTTGGCATCAGAAGCCCTAACTAGGCTACAATCCCTGATTGCTAACACAACAATCTATGAAACAAAAAAAAAATTCAGTTAAGTTCCTTGATATTCCTCTAAAACATGCAGAACAATTATTCATCTCTACTATTGTGGACGGGCTTTCTATAAGATGGTGGTGAGAACTGTAATGCTTTATGGTGCCATGTGTTGGCCATTAAAAGATAATCATAATACTAAGTGTTGTAGAAATGAAGATGCTCAGGTGGATGATTTGACTTTACCCTCAGAAATAGGATACGAAATGAGCATACGCATGAAAAAATAGGAGTAGCTCCAATGAAAGATTAGATTAGAGAGTCGTCTTAGATGATTTGGTCCTATAAAACAGATGATCCGATTAGAAAAGTAGAGGTATTAAATTTGACTTATGTAAAAAAAGATAGAGTTAAACCTAAAAAGACTTGATTAGCAAATATTAGAAATGATATTTTTGGACCGGATTTTCAAGTTAAAAAATGACGTTCTCCACTATTTTATCAAGAGTCAGGAAATCATACCCAAAAAAAAAAAAAAATAGCGAAATGAGTTTTCTTAGCAGAAAGACATCGTTGAAACTGAATAGCCAAAGTAAACTCATCTGACATATCCATCCTTATAATTATATGCATCACAGAGCCTGTAAGAGACTGAAATCAACTACAGATTTTATAGAGAAGACCATCTTGCTTATTAATTATGGTAGCCTTTAAGAATAACTACATTGTTAATTCATCCGGAAGGGTGGGAACATGCTCTCCTAATACCTTAAAACCAACATCAGGAAAGCATTCATGGCCAGCGAGCAACCCCACATTACCAGAAGCATCCACCTTGATTGGATACTTAATAAGGTGCCCTTGTAATGGAATCATTTGCTTCTCATTATATAGTATCCAGTTTTCATCGGCTATCTTGTTCACTGTTTGTACACAAACCAAACTATGGGGATCTACAAAGCAAGGTCGGAGCATACCGAGATGCTCAGCCCAAAGAGACATTCGGTACCCATATACCTACAATACAAACAATACAACTTGTTATCAACAATGAGCATTGCTTCAAGCACAATTCTCTTTGAACACTTATAATGAATAGATTTAGGGTTCATTTGAGACTACTTTCTTGTTGCTACTTAAAAGCAGGTTTTTAGTATAAAATTTTTAATTTTTGTATTAAAAACTACTTTAAGAAGTAACAAAAAAACCGTCTCAAACGAAGCCTTACATATTGTATAATGATGTTGACATTATCCTTATTTATTAGAGACATGGGTCATTTAAAAAAAAATTAAAAAGGATCATTTTGATGATAAATTTAAGATCAAGAAGTAATCAGCCAGAACAAGTCGAACAAGAGCAGCAATTTCTAGTTTATAGAGAATAAGGAAACAATTTATAATGAAAATTTATATCAGAAAACCCTCTACTTTAGAATGGCTATTTGCAATTTCTGAAAATGTGATTAATAATGGAGTATTAATGTTGATTATTGATGCTGATTAAATAAATTTGAAAACTTTATGCTCCTTTTAAAATATGGGTAAACCCGATCAAAATACTATGATTCCGTCATCTTGGGTATGCCGTAGGTTTCAGTCTACCAACAATAACAATCATTGATAATAGTGTCCAGAGAATCTGATTAGCAATCATGGATTGCCTCCTCTCATAGATCCTGAGTAGACCGAGATGGTTAAATAAAGAGTTTTTAGTTTTATTAGAGTTTTTGGGTTTACATCAATTAGAATACCCAATAATTTAGTTTGGGATTTGCAACTTCACTTAGAAGTTACCTTAAAGTTCGAATTGAAGCGGATCTTACAGCTTCTCTTAAAAGTAGCCTAAGCATTTGAATTTGGGTCGGGACTTACAGCTTTCATTGAAAGTAACCCGTAAAGTGGGTTTTACAGCATAACCCTATAGGTTAAGATGCCCGTAAGTTTGCTTGTTTGGATAGGTCTTATGACTCCCATCGAAATTGCCTATAGATGGGTCTTACAACCTAGCTCTACAGCAAGATTATCCGTTGATTCAGATTTAATTTGAGAATTTAATATTTCTCCTAAGAGTTTCTCTTAAATAACAAGTCGTACAATTTCTTTTGGAAGATGTCAGAATGTTAGTCTTATAACCTAGTCCTTTAGACTAAGTTGTCCGCTAGTTTTGTTTGTTTGGGTTTTAAGGTTGTTGCAATTTATTTAGCAATTTTTTCTAACATGTCGGTCTTTCAACTTCACTTAAAAGTTGTAATTTGGCTTGGGGGTCTTACAACCTAGCCCTATAGGCTAAGCTGTTCATTAGTGTAGTTTTTAGCATAGGTCTTATGGCTTATGCATTTAGAAATAGCTTGATTATTTGTGTAGAATGAGTCTAACTGCTTCCCTTTAGAAGTAGCACAATGGTTGGTCTCACAACCAAGCTCTATAAGCAAGGCTGCCCGTTTTGTTATCATTGAAGGCTTAATGTTTCATTTGGATTAAGTCTTACGACTCCCTTTAGAAATTGCCTGTTTGTTTGTTTAAAAGCGGGTCTTGTTGATTCATTTTGGAAGTAGCCCATAGGTGGATCTTACAACCAAGCTCTATAAGCAAGGTTGCCCGTTTTGTTTGGTTTGTAGGACTTACTATTTCCCTTTGGAAGTACCCTGAAAGTTTGTTTGTTTAGATAGGTTAGACAGTAGTTACTTTTGTTCAATTGTTTTTACACCAGTGCTTGGTTTCAGTACCTTACTTTTCATGACAGTGCGGTAGTTCAGTTCCAATACATGCTTTTCTTTCTTTTCACAAGTACCCTATTCTTTTTTTTTAGTACCGTAGTTTACTTTCCAATACCTTGTTCGTTTGCTTTAGCATTTATTTTGGTATTAATCATTTTTGTTTCTTTACTTGCAGATACTTGGAGGTGGAGTTTTGCTGCTTTGGAGCTTACCCAGAAGTATTGGAGAGTTGTACAAGTGTTGGTGTTTTTTTTTTTTTTTTACAGTTTGGAGAACGTTGAGAGAGTTTGAGTGTGAGTTTATTGAGAGTTTGTGAGTTGGATTTTGGAGAGCAATTATTAGTTGTACAGTATTGAGTTGGTGTTGAGTTGTACATTCTTAGTGCAAATACTATTTTCATTCATTAATTTTAATTAAATTTAATCAGTTGGTTAATTGAATTAATCCATTAGAATTCAAATTTAATTGCTCTCAAATTGGGTAGTTTTCTAGGGTAATTTCGGTAGCCTCCTGGCATCATCTCCCCTCGCAGGGAGATCGGGACGGTATTTGTCGTTGTTTCTTCCTACCCGGATTAAAGATCAGTGGCATAGGGTCTTCGAATTTTAAACCATTTTACCCGGATTAGAGATCGTCGATGTAGAGTCGTCAGATTGAAAATTCATCTGCCCTGATCTAAGATCACGGCATGGTCTTCGTATTAGAACTCATCCTACCCAGATCAAAGATCAACGATGTAGGGCCTTCAATTTTAAAATCCTTTCACCCAGATCAAAGATCAATGGCGTAGGGCCTTAAAATTGACAAATATCTATTGCTTTATAATTTTACATCAATTTTAAATTTAATGATCTTTTATCACAAAAGATCGTTGGATGGTTCAGTGGCTAAAACAATTTCTCTTTGTGTACTCATAAATAGAGTAGTCGGTTGGAAGATTTGTAATTGCTTGCACACGCAATTGCGTAAAACAGGGCTCGGTGCAAGCTTCGGCAAACAAGAGTTAGTATGGCAGGTAAATGTGCAGGGGTGATCGGTCGTTCGTTCACATACAGGAGAAACACACGAAGGAAGTTCGGTCCGGCGTGGGGGTGTCGGGTGCGGATTTGGTCCAATTGGGCTAGACGGGAGAAGTTCGGCCGGCATTAGGTAGAGGTGGAAAGTCCAGGCAAAGTGACGAAGTGAGGTTTTGAAAGAATGCGGGAAAGGAGCAAGTGTTCGGCTTGAGGTTTCACGTGGATCAGACAGAGCAAAGGCGGGCGGTGTGAAGCATTGCATCGTTTGACGAGGTGGGGTCGAATCGGAGAGATTCATCTCTTCGATTTTATTTTCCGCCTTTCTCCCTTTTTTTATTTTAAATTCATCAACATAATTACAAATGCGTTCCTAGTTCACGGAACTATCACAAATAAAAGTTCTGGAAAGGAGTTCATATACTGTTGTGCTGCATCAATAGTGCTTTGTATGATTGCTTGTAATATTTCTTATCATACTAATAATCATGATTCTTAAATGTTTTCATTAAAGATCTTAAGCCCAACCTTGTTTTCCTACAAACGGTGAGAACATTTCTATTCCAGTATGATCAAGTTGGCATGAGATCATAACAAATAACGGCTATATCTAAAATAGTATCAAAGATTTTCCCAGTTTATATAACTATGAAATTTGAAGAGAATGATGGTTGACTGACCTGTCCTCGAGGATGTCGCAGCTTTTGTGCCCAAGTATGATGCGGTTGATATGCACCCATGGCTATCTCAGTATCTCTTGACCCATCTAGAGATCTTTGGTTTATATTGGCAGATCCCAAAATCACATACTCATCATCTACTATCATCCCTTTTGCATGAACATAAATCATAAATCTCTGGAATTCTTCAAACGAAGTCTGGAAGCATAGGCAGCGGTTCAAACTTGGGAAAATATTCATTTTAAATAAGTATAAAAGTTTCTTATAGAATGAAATAAGAATGTCTTATATCACGACATAATACATCAAACTAAATGGCAGCCTAATTTTGGATAGCATCACATTAGGGACGATCCTGAAAACAGACAAAAATTAGGAGTAAACGTTAAGAAAATTGGTAATCAAATTCCCTCCTAATCCTTTGAAATTCTATATGAAGTTTCAATATGAAATTTTCTTCAAATTTGGTTGCTTCTAACAAATCTGTTTTCAGATTTTTCAACTATAATAGTTACCAGATCTTCTTGTTTTTTTTTTTTTTTTTTTTTTTTTTTTTTTTTTTTTTTTTCTTTTTTTTTCTTTTTTTTTTAACCAGATCTTCTTGTTCTTGACTACCTATTACCGTATTTCTGTAAAAATTTGCATTCGTATCAGATTAGCTTCTTCTTTGTCTTCTTCCGTGATCTTGTGTTTCCGGCAAAGGTGAAGCTTTACTGACCTGCATTCTTCATTCGAGGATGGAGGTTCACAACGGAAAGAGCATCTTTAAACAAGCCTTCCTTCAAGCAGCTGGTTGCTGATTTATTATCTGTTGCCGACAAGAAGGTCCAGTGCTGTGGTTGGCATCAGAACAAGAAAAAACAATGTGTTGGGCTTGATAAACAGGGAAAGCAGAGAAGGAGAATGTTTGTGGCTACATCTTTCTACAATTCTGATGTCTGGGCAAAAGAAGGTAGATCACAACACACAAAGGCCATATAATATATATATATATATATATATATATATATATGACCTGGTTCATTTGGGTTTTTTTGCTTGTTTGGCTGCAAGTATGAAAGAGAGTAAAGGAATCAGAAGAAAATAAATTGCAGTTGCTTTGGTGTTATATAGATATGAGGATGCTGAAATGGATGAGTGGCTTCACAAGTAGAGATAGAATGTGAAACGACTACAAACTTGAAAAGGTTGAAGTACCTCCAATGACAAATAAGATTAGAGAGAGTTACCTTAGATGGTTTGGTCATATAAAACATCAGCCTTCTGATGACCCTATTAGGAGTCAAATTCTCCATCATGGGACTGGCTACATGGATCATTTTTCTCCATCATGTCCTGTTAATAGTCAAATTCTCATTTAAATCTAATAAAAAAATGTTATTTCTAATATTTTATAACCAATATTTTTTAGGACTACCTCTACCTTTTTCAACATAAGCCAAATCTAATACATCTACTTTCCTGATCGGGTCATCGGACGGCCGCCATTTTATGTGACCAAAACATCTAAGGCGACTCTCTCTAATCTTATCTTCCACTGGACCTACTCCAACCTTTTCACGTATATGCTCATTTTGTATCATGTCACTAAGAGAAAAGTCACTCATCCACCTGAGCATTCTCATCTAATAATATCCCCATCTATTTTATCATCACTTTGAACAATAAACCCAACATATCTAAAACTTGTACTTTTATTAATAACTTGATTGCCCAATCACAATCCCCCACTAGATCTATTACTACTAAAATTACACTCAATATATTCAATTTTAGATCTACTCAAACGAAAACCTTTAGATTATAAGACTATCCACCATAATTCAAGTTATCTTCAACTCCCTCTCTAGCTTTATAAATAAGACGAATATCATCAACAAAAAAGCAGACAGCAGGGTCCTACCTCTTGCAAATATCTAGTGAGAACATCCATGACTAAAGCAAAAAGATATGGGCATAAGGCTAGTCCTTGATGTAATCAGTAATCCAACTGAAATTGGAAAATACTTTGTCAAACTATTTTGTGTTTGAGCACAAGTAACAGCTCTCTTAATGACTTGAATATAAGCATTATTAATCCCTTTTCTTTTCTAGAACTCTCCAAAGCACTTCTTTAGGAACTTTATCATATGTTTTCTCTAAATCAATAAATATCCTATGTAGAGCCTCTTTATTCTCTCTATACTTCTCCATCAAACCTCTCAATAAATGTATAGCTTCCATAGTAGACCTACCTTGCATGAATCCAAATTGATTTTGAGAAACATTAGTATCACACTAGAACCTATGCTCTATAACTCTCTCCCATAGTTTTAAAGAATGACATATCAACTTAATTCCTCTATAATTCGCACAATCTTGTGCATCACCTTTATTCTTAAAAATAGAAATCAACACACTCATTCTCCACTCATTTGGCATCCTTTTAGTCTTCAAAATAATATTAAAAAGTTTAGTAAGTCAAGAAATTCTTTCATCTCCTAAGCATTTCCACACCTCTATTGGAATATCATCAGCTCCAATAGCTTTTTCACATTTCATTTTCTTTAAAGTCTCTCTAACTTCGATTTTACTAATACACCGATAAAAATAAAAATCTTTATTTTCATTTAGGTTATTAAGGTCACTAAAGTCAATCGTATTCTCACAATCTTCCTTGAAAAATTTAGCAAAATATCGCATCATCCATTGTTGAATATCTTCTTCTAATAAAAGCATTTTTATTCTTCATCCTTAATGTACTTGAACTAAATCCTTACTGCTCCTATCTCTTTGTTTGGCTAACTTAAAAATATTTATGGCCTTTAAAGATTTTTAAAAAAAAATTGAGTTCTCTCTTTGTTGGAGCTTGGTGGATGACCATTGACCTTACTTGGAGGGAAAGATTAATTAACCCTCAGTAATTGTTGTTTTCCCTCATAACATCTCTTCTAAATCTCTCCAATATCTTTCCCTACATCTCAGTCACCTCTAAGCCCAACCATAATAACCCAATGCAATCAAAATAATAAAGGCCTTATATTAGCTCTCAGTCTAGGTTCAACCTTACCTAGTCTTGTTCCCCTTCCTCTCATAAGGCCTTAAATCTCTTGAAATTTCATCAATACCCTCAGATCACAACTATATATTCTAAATTAGCCTTCCAAAATCATTTTCTATCATTTATCACCCTTATAAAAAAATTAAATCAAATCAACCAAACTAGACCTATTTGAGCTTATCATAATTTTTTAACTTCATGTAACCCTATATACTAACCCCATCCACCATGAACCCGAGATCACACCGCCACTTCATAAACCAAGCATCCATGGCCATCTCCAGCCATCACCCCACTTAAAATATCTCCCACCACCATCAGTTAGGAAATAGTCCAGTGTTCATTAACAGCCTAAAGATGATAGCATAAGGATTATACTCTACACATGAAGATCTTGCCAAAATTCCAAGATAGAAAGTATGATAAATTTCTACAAGTGGGTATATATATATATATATATATATATATATATATTTCTACAAGTGGGTATATATATATATATATAAAGCATGCCATAGGAGTGAACGTAGGCCTTGTGCGCAAGCTCGCAGCAAAGACTGTGTCACACCACTTTGTTGTAACGTGTTGTAGCATTGTGCACTTGACTCCTACTTAGAGTAAAATGCTAATTCATAGTTTGGTTCAATATCTACCACAATAATTACGCATAATTATTTATTTTTTGCTCATTATTTCTCGTCTTCATTAGTTTTTTGTTTATTGATTTTTTATTCTCTCCCTTTGAAGCTAGTCGCTTCTTGGTAGTTCTTCTCTTCATGCTCATTCCCCTTGCTACTTATACTTTTTTAACTAGTTCTCTTATTGTTGGAACTAGTGGCTTCTCGCTCATAGGCTACTTCTTGATACCTCATCTTCACGAGTATATTCTTAATTTTTAAGTATATTATTATATCATTTCATTATTTATATCTTGGATTCTTTACTGGGCTTTCGAATAGCTAAAAATCACTATTATGATCGTATCACTATATTTGCTTGAAAACTATTATATGAAGTGTTTTTAAGTTTGTTAATTAAATGACTATAGTATAGATGTATGTATGTGTGTGTTTGTATAAAGAGAGAGCGAGTGAGAGAAAGAAGAAACTTAAGCACAAGATGTATTTCCCTTTCTTAATGCATAGAGCATTCTAACTATGCATAACAAAGAAACTTATCAATATTATATTAAATTCTAGAAATGTAAAAGGTGTAGAAACATGAAAGGACATATCTAGCGGTCAAATGAATCAACCCAATTTCAAATTTATTGCAGCAATACATATTATATGCATTGTTTAACAAAGGTTACCGTAATGAAGAATACATTGTGCTCTTCTATATCAGACAATTAATGATACTTACAAAGATGTTTTAAGTTAGAGCTGCTAACAACAATAAATAATGTAGATAATAACTTACTGCAGCATCAGCTTTATTTTTTGCCGAATGTTGGTTCATAGCCTGTGGTTGTTGATTTGGTTTTTTTTCTCGTTTTCCAAGGCAATAGAAGTTTAAATAATCTTGTGGATGTGCCTTCTCCAGCTTCATGAATTTGAGCTCCTGCCCAACAATGTTGTACATCATCTTCATTGTTTGGCCCTGGAATGTGAACATGCTGACAATAAACCAGCTATTACGTACTTCAAAAAAAATGAAAAGCATTAACTTTTACAGTTACCATGTATAGAAAGCTTCCTACACAATTCTATGCAGGAATTTTTAATGTTATTTTCTAACATCAATAAGCGCAAATCCTTCTATGCTTTCCGATGAAAATTATAGGAAATTATAGACCTCCATAAGTAACAATGGTTACCTCAATATTACGTCAAAGCACACAATGCAATCAATTTCAAACCAAATTAAGTGCAAATCATGTAAGATGCAGCCAAAAACATAACAGTTACATATCACAGAATTTTCTTCCGGTGTAACGTCTAGCCACTTGGCATTCCAAGAGCATAGAGACATACATATCGGATCGGAGGAGGAAGTTGATGTCAATCTTCACCTAAGAAAGAGCAGAAAAAAAATGGAATGACTTTCTTTAAAATACTTCACGTAGTTGATGATAATTTAAGGTCAAATTTTATCGGTACAGGTAAAGAAAGAGCTTTTGATGGCAGGTACTGCTGCATTTATACGCAAAAGCAGAATAATAAACTTGGCGGTTCATGACTATCTTTATCCATCAGGGCTTAGAAAGACATTAACATCCCAATATATATATATAGATTGAATTAGTAACTGAAATGTGCACTATATATTTGGAGATATCTTAAGAGTCCACGTAATATGAAACTCAGGAGTATATCTATAGCGGTAAATTTATGATTCGGTTATCTGCTTCATCCAAACAGCACCTGATTATCTGACCTGGAGCATGGGCTCAAACCAGGGTAATGCTTGGGTATAGAAGACCGTCAAAACCTTGCTGGAAAAGCCTTGGGTCTTTTCTTTAGAAATATTTCTATCGTGTGGGTCCTCCCAACATCTTTTTTTTTTTTTTTTGACATTTAGGCCAATTAAGGCAGACTCACACACACATCGCATACACAAGACTCGAACTCAAGACCTCTTAGTTGGTAGCCTAAGCTCCCAACTAACAGATCAAGATGAGTTGTGTTCTCCCAAGTCCCAACATCTTTATTGGCTTTTGGAGGTGAAAAGAAGAACCATTTGGCTGAAAGTCTATGAAGTTCAAATATTTTTAGAGGGCTGTAGGGCTGCCATCTCGGTGTCTCAAACTAGAGGATGCTCAGATACTCTATCCTCTAGGACGCTTCAGAAAAAAACATGCCAAATATGCCGCGTGATGATCAAATAAAATTTCAAAATACTAGTCGGGCAATGAAGACGATGCATGCATTATATTCAAAATTTTCAAAATTAGAATTGAAAATTTCAAATAATGATAAATTGGATTTGTAGTGTATGGCAAATCAAAGGTTTGAAATGAATTTGACCATATATTATTCTATGCATTCTTGTTATGTCCATATTAGACATGCTTATAGTAATATCCAAACAATACAGCTAATGAAAATTCAAAAGTCAATTCTTTCTAAGTTAATAAGTTTTAATTAATATTTTTAAAATAAATTAATTACTGCTACGTGAATTTAAGATTTTTATTAAGTAAATTATTAAATAAAATTAAATATTTCTATATTCCTGAAGAGGTGTTACAAAGGGTTGTGAGTGCATAATAGCAGTTATGTGAGTGGGCCTCTTATCTCCAGTCAGTTTCACGCAAGCCAGGCAAAGGGAATTCGGCATAGTGCAGTTTTTCCTGTAGCAAAAATCTTCACATTGCCTGGAATCACTGTAGCAAGAGGCGGGGGAATTTCAGATCAGTGCAGAATTTACTGTAGCCTAGTTCGCTACAGTACCCGCAGAACTGTAGCACAGCGAATTCCTATGCGGTGCAATTTGGTGGTGAGTGCACACAGTGGAATTTTCTAGGAAGGTTTGGAGGAGTATTCTGCACATTCCAGGCGGCAAAGGTTGAATGTAATTTTTGGAAACTATAGCAAGAATATGAATTTGATTAATTGATTTCATTTAATGAATTGGATGTGAGTGATGTGAGTGTGCAATTTAATTAAAGACTGTACTTTTGTGTGGTGTTGTGGAGCAGTAGAGATGAAGTGTAGAAGAAGAGAATAATAGAAAGAAGAAAGAGAAAGATTGATCAAATTTATGAACTATATATGTAGGTTGATGTTTAATTAGGAAATTACACGCTTGATGAAGAGTAAGAATAATTATTCAACTTCTAAAGATTTTAAATGAAAGATTGAAAACAATAAAGAGACAATTAGCCTAGGCAATGGGTTACACGATAATCGTTAGGAGCACAAAATATCCAATTCAAATCAAGCTTTGCTTTACATGGGGGTTCTCAAAAGAAATTCCTAGATTAACAATTAGACTAGTCACTATTAGGATCCCTCTCTCACACTCCTAATAATTATTTAGCGGAGAAAACTTGCATAAATTTCATGATGCCACAATTGAGGAAGACGTATAAGTAATAAGATTCGGGAGAGAGTTCACCTTCATCAAGATTCAGAAGAGAGTTGTCATTGAATGTGAGGTTGTCGTTGGTCAATAATGGTTGCAAGGGAGAAGATGATTCATTCCACGTATTCTTCGACGGAGTGGTCATCCTCAAGATCTATATCGAAAAATGGAATTCGGAGAATATCGATTAATCCTTGATCATCAAATACGAAGCCGTGATCAAGCTCTGGATCGGCCATGCATGAGTGGACAGCAAACTATGAGTTGTTGGAGCTTCTGGATAGCAAAGGGGTATCTTCCATATAGCAAGACAGCATGGCGATCTTCTGATATTTCTGGACAACAATAGGACTTTTCTGGACGGCAAGTTGGCGGGTTTGGGATGCGGGACAGCAAGTTTATGTTGCTCAAATTTCTAGACAGAAACTTCAGATTGAGCGTGCTTAATTTGTGAGGGAAATAAAACTAGGAAGTAGAGGGATTTTTTTTGGGGGGGTGGGTGGGGGGGCGGTTGGGGTTAATTTGAGTTGCCAAACATAAACTTTCAATTAAAGGAAATAGATTTAAGATGATTTTCCCAAATTTGAAATTTAATTTGGGGCAATTTATGGGAGGAATTTGAATTTGAGTCTTTCAAATAAGGAGAGAGGAGGGGGGCCTTGAATGGGGAATTAAATGGATTGCTAAGTTTGAAAATTTAAATTAGGAAATGAGAATTAAAGTATCGCCTATTCAAAATCCAAATTGATATGAAATAAGAATCTTTCATAACTTAATACATATATTTTAAGAAAGTAATTTCAGATTTAAAAGAATTAAAATTTGAATTTGATCACTTTCCTAATTTACGATGTACTAAATAGGAAAGTATTGATTGAATGGAGGGGATTGTAGAGGCAACTTGGGGCTTGGGTGGTCGGTGACTTGAGGGTCGGATGGCGGGGTTTGGGAGGCAGGTGTTGGCAGTTAGGTGGGGAAGGGGATGGGTGGCCGAAGGTTGTAGGGGAGTCAGCTTGGGTATGGAGTTAGGCCAAGGAAGAAAGAGGCGGAAGGGTGCGGTGTAGCCGTCCTAGGGTTGGGGTTGTGGAGGTTTTCACCCAAGAGAGACAAGAGAGGATGGGGCGGCGGTTGGGGGAGAAGAGAGGGGAAGAAGTTGGTGGAAGAGGTGGACCATGAGCCTGGACGCTTCCTGTGGCTGGTGGGTAGTATGTTGCCCTTACCTAGGGATCTCAAACAAGCTCTCACAAAAACTCACCAAAAACACAAGTGCTGAAATTTTAATCATAATAATCATCATCCCCTCCAAAGAAGAAGAGGGGGCTATAAATAGCAAAAATACAATAGTAAAATCAAAAGACAGAAGTGCCCCTTGGAGTCACATGAACCTACTCCCTCAAGTGAGGATAAAATCAAAAAATATATATATAATAATAAATTAAATACAAATAATAGCTTAGAAATAAAGAGTTGTAATCATGGCCGTAGATCTCTGGCCTCTTCTCTTGTAAACTCTCCACTGTCGGATGTCCTCATCAAAAGCTTTGAGGTAAACACTTGTGTCAGTATGAAATCATTATAGACAAATTATTTGAATTTTATATTGTAGAAATTATAGGATTGGAGACATGATTGTAGGTAACATACAAGCGTAAAAGAGTAAGAAATAGAGAATTGGAGGAGACACCTTGGCAAGAATGTAAGTAATGCAAATCCTTTGGCTGGTCTAATAGATTCTCTTTTAACGGGTGGGACATTCTAAGGTACCATTACCATTGTGAGCTTAGTTTCAGACCTAATCTCCTCATATATTGATCATGATGCCATATTATTTGTATATTATGATGTAATTGGATTTATGCTTGTTAAAATGAAAAAAAAATAAATAAATGCACAAATTTTTGAGTTTGGGAGACCAATATGACAATTGCTACAATCATATTCTAGAACTCGCCTTTATTGGTGCAACAACTCGAGGAAGATCCAGGAGGAAAGTCACCACTCTATTATGTATGCACAACAGGAGTTGTCAGTTGAGTCTTATCCTATGTTGCACCAATACAGATACGGAACGTCAATTCTAAAAAATACAGGATACGGGTATGACGCGAACATGGCATTATAATTTATAAATCATACATAAAAATCAAGAAAGCAATCAATGCATAAAATTTGAAATTACAAAAAAAAAAATGAAACCAACATCATTTGTAGCCTTGTAGCTTATAATATCAAAATAAAAGTAAGTATTAAATGTTTAGTACAACAACAAAAGCATAAACATAAATTGTCTAGCACGTGAAGTTTCAACTATTCAATAGAAGGAATGATATGATTAGCTTCTTCAATGGCATGTCTTTGAACTTCTATATCATCTTCAATAAATATCATACCTTCTAATTCAGGCTCATCAAGTGAAAGATTAGCAATTTCTAATATTCTCATATCATCAAGAGACTCAAATCCATCTCGGAAATGAGAGAACCTCACTCACAGCCGCGGAAGTAAATATGACTCGTTTTTTTTTAGACACGCGTATAGGATACACGTGTCCTTTTAAAATTAAATAGTATTTTAATTGGATACGGCTTTGCCGTATCTGACACGTATCGGTGTCGTATCGTAGGCGTATCGGTGTATCGAATATAGCACGACTTCATAAATAGGTGTATCGGTGCAACATAGGTCATATCCTTTTTAGAATTGACGTTCCGCAACATAGGTCATATCCTATCAATTGTGGATGTGTCACTATTTGACGCTAATGATCAACCTCACGCAGCATTTAGATGGGCACACCTTGATACAATCAATCATGCATGTATACTACTTGGTGCTAATGATCGGCCTCACAAGTATATGCACTCAAGCACCCTCATGTGGTTGCCTGCAGGTGTGATACAACTTGACCTTAATGGTCGGCCTTGCAAGTATGTACCCTTACATAGTAAACCATTAGTCTTACTCACTGCTGACACATAAGCATTTGAGCATGGAGAGGTTGGTCTCTCTCACACTTTAGAAATCCACACTAATAGCTTGAGGAACCCGTATTGCATATTACTGATGGCTAGTTGTCTAAGGTCTAATTGATTAGATCTAGATATTTTCTATGATGCCTATGATATGATGCCAGCAATGAAATCATACAGATAAGTGATGTGCTGTGATGATATGTGATGCGATGATGTATTGATAACGATATTAACATGCCACTGACCTTTATTTTTCAGGAGATGGTTTAGAATTGGTGCTTTCTTTTCTACTTATTTTAACAGTATTATTTCATTCTTTATTTCTTTCTATATATTCATGCTATGATATGACGTGACTTGGGTTATTTTGTGAATACACTAGATTATAGAACAATTTTTTGCCCTTAAAATATGCAAGTTAAACGAATATAAAATAAATCAACCTTGTTTATACTCCAATATAAACAATGATTCGATGTTTGGCCCACCATCCTAGGGTATAGACATGTGGCCTTATTAGCAATAAGCCCTAGCTAATTTAGATATAAAAAATAAAAGCAATGCACGCACATCCTTCATATGAATTTTAACCATAGGATGTGTCTGCCTCCCCCATATCATCATGACCTATGGCCTTACTTCTCACATATACGCTTAGATGGCATTTCTAAACTAGGCAATAAATAAGCCCAATTTTTCTTGATTACACAGGATCATATTTTAAGTCCTATTTTTTTATATTTACTCTGCCACATGGAGAATGTATCTAGGCCTGCTTAATCCCACATGATCAGGTTATGAGTCTCATTCTTTCCATTTTCACATCTTCTCTTGAGAAAATTTTCAAGCATTTAATCCCACACTAAGGAGGTTTTCGAGCTTCTTGATCTCATACGATCTAATTGTAAGTCCCATCTTAGGTATCCTTTTCATGAAAAGGAGAAGGGCATGTACTATCATACGTCATATAAGGTTTTGTCTAAGCTTTTATCTTATATGGTAGTGGAGTGTAAGTATGGCATATCAACCTAGAATTATGTCCACGTCGTTATTCTGTGAGGTCTTCTTGGATCAAGCAACCTATGGTTGCTAACAAGGAACCTCAAATCACACGCAACTAAGTTGAGAAAGGATAATGACCAAAATGATGAAACCATAGGACCTTGATCGAAATTGTCATCCCACATTGTATTTTAGTTCTTTACTACATCAATTTATCTCTTTCACAACTTCTTAAGATGTGGAGTTTCCATTCTCTAGTAGCTTCTAATGGCTATATTTAAGTGTTAGCCTGATGATTCGGATCTATCTTATGTTTTAGAATTCAAGTGCCATCACTTTTGGAGCCTATGTTCTTAAGCTTTTTTGTTGAATGACTTTATACCAGGATTATAATTTATTACAAAAAAAATGAGCCCTCATTGGAAATATGCCTTCTCACCTACAATTTAGGATTCCCTTACTATAATTATGTGATTGACCCTACAAATACCTCACTACTTTTCACATACTATGACTACACCCCTACATAATGCACCCTGAGTCTTAGATTCCCATTGGTTTATATAACCTTACTATATGTATGAGCCTTATTATACTTCTCCTTTAATATTGAAAGAGACCACTACATCGCCTTGGTGAATACGCATGCACTTAAACACAAGTATGGACTCCTTAACGACAGTATTCTAAGTAGGGGTGTCAAAATGATTTTTCGGGTCAAGTTTGGGTCGAGTTCGGGTTGAGTTCGGGTCCAACCATAAACTAACCCGCCCTCGATTGCTCCAATCCAAACCCAATCTGATTACACAAACGGGTCAAAAATATGAACCCTGACCCAACCCACCCCAAATCTAGGTTAACCTGACCCAACATGTACCAAGCGAGCGCAGAGCAAGTGATGTCGAGTGTAAAGCATGGATCGAGCTCAGGTGAGGGCACGACTAGGTGGGATGCAGTATGGGCCAGAGACTAGATGCGGTCACATGGTGCGGGCGGAAGCGGAACACGCTAGCTGTGCGACGTAGTGCAGAGCCTGTGGGAGCGCAGGTTTGCCAGTGCACGCGGTGCGGGCGAGAGGTGGGGTCCTACGAAATGCTGGTTGTTTTAGAGATAGCGGGTTGACCCGAACTCGGACCGATTTTTCAAATAGGTCGGGAAATAGAACCCAAACCCAACCCATTTGTTAAACGGGTCAACCCAAAACTGAATTTTTTATGTCGGGTTTGGGTCGGATTTTCAGGTTGGGTCATAAATTGACACCCCTAAGTTTAAGATATGCTTGGGGATATATTTAACCTAAAGAGCTTGCTTTTTTTGGGAAACATCAAACACCAAAATTAAAATAAATTCTATTTAGAGTTATATTCTTTACAGCGGAAATATCTGAAACATTCTTTTAGTTTGTCTTCCCTTGATCCTTGTAGGCCTATAAAGTGCATTGATAAGTTGCAGTCAATCCTTTATTGTAGGATCATAGGCATCTTTAAAATCCTACAAGTTTAGATACATGTGTCCATATTACACATGTTTATTTATGAGCTTTAAGAAATTTTAACGGCTTTTGCATATGTCCACAAGCAAAAGCAAATTGTTACTTTTTTAAGTACAAAGCATTATTATGTATAGATGTGCATATGCACATTCCTCTCTTTACACATGGGGGGTGAGTGAGCACATGTTCAATGTTATTCAAAGATGTGCATATGCATAAATCTCTCCTGGAAGAGGGGTGTATAGAAGGAAAGTAAAATTTTCATTACATATAGCCAAGGAGATATAAAATCTATCTTATTAAAGAATAAAACACCTAAAGCAAAAGGAAAGACACAAGAAAACAAAACCATGAAGAATTAGCTCAAAAACATATATATATATATATATATATATATAGAGAGAGAGAGAGAGAGAGAGAGAGAGAGAGAGAGAGAAGTATTGAGATTTGAACAAGAATCATTTGTATGAGGCAAAAAAACCTATAACCACCAACCTTAAGAATGAAAATACCACAAAAATTAAGCAGAGAAATACAAATTGTTGCATCTTAAAATTGTGAGTCATATCCAAAATCTTGAAGGGCAACAATCATGCTTAATGGAAACATCCACCTCAATCAAAACACAAGCCGTTGAAGGTCATGTTTATATTTTTCAATAATATTCATCACATGTCTATTAAGATACCCACATCATACCTTATATATCCTCAAATTATATCTTATCGCAACAAAATATCATAATATTATTATGTTTTATCCATCATATCTCCAATCCTCGATTGTTTCAATGCTCCAAAGTATAGTAGAGGCTTCTCCTAAGAATAAATTGGAGCAGAATCCCTTAAGAATGCATCAATAAATGTAAATACCTCTATTTCTAGAGAGAGAGTTTAAAATAGTCTCTGGAATATTTTTATAGGGTTATCCTGAGGCATACAAGGCCACATAAATTTAGCAGCAAAACAGGTAAGGGATATTGCTAAAAGCATAGTGACCAACAGTTGCATACCTGCCAATAAAGAATTTCTTTAATAAAGCCTGAATCTCTTTCTCCTTCTGGCCACATTGGTATGACAACATATACTGCAAACTGCTCGCCAGCCCTAATTTTGCTTACAATCTTTAATGCCAATTCCATGGGAATTAAATTATCAGCTCCTGTTTACACCACAAGGCTTGATGATGTAAGCAATCTAAAACGAGTAGGTGACCATGAAAGAAAAGATGCATTAACATAAAAAAAGCATCAATTAAATCAATGATTATCCTGAGGCATTCGAAGCCATCACAATTTGTACAATTGATTTGGTTCTTCACATAAGACTCAGCTTAGTATTAAGAAATCAGAAAAATAAGTCTGATTCATATAACAAATCATAATCTTGAAAGATTTTCTTAGAATAGCATGTCTCAAAGCATGAATAGGAAAAGGATGTGTGTATATATATATATATATATATATATATATATAAGAAAATTAAAGGCTATAAGCTTATATGAATTAATTTAAACTTTAATTTAAATTTATCTATTGTTCATGCCATTATGTTACTGTGGCAAAGCAGGAAAATCAGAAATCCACTAGGAATGGCATGCATCGACTGTGATTAATTTTTAGGGTTAATTCAAGGGTAGTTAATGAATTTTTGCATTAGGTAATTACCAATATACTTAATTCTATCCCTAGACAAACTCACCAGTTTGAAGACCTGTGGCTGGGAGCTCTCAGGTAGGAGCAACGAAAGCAGTAGGGCGAATATGGCCAAAGGAAAGGAGAGGGGAATTTAGGGTGGAAAGGTAAAATCCATTTTTTTGTAATTTCCATCGTTATTTTGGCTATGAATAGGAGTTGCAGGCTTTCCAAATTGATTTGGACATATCATTTGGAGATGGTGTATAAACGAAAGAGGCATCGGGGTGTCGAGGTGTTTTAAATTTTTGTAGAAGTTAAAAGTTATAATAGATAAAGTATAATAGTTTATTCTCTGTTCATTCTATGTCGACCTGGAGGAGTCAACATGGGGTGTGACAATTTTTAAGGCTTTTCTACATGTGACTAGCTAATATGGCTCCTTTTAGACTCATATGTGATAGATTAAAATGAATTTCTCAAATGTGCTTCGTAATTATCAGTACGGGTCAAATGTTGTACAAAAAAATTACTTAGTTCTTGAATGAGAAAATCTAATCAAACTTGTTAATCCTTCTTAGTCCTAAAGCAAGGCCAGACATAGAACCGAAAAGAGGTTCAATGGTTCAATCTAAAATTTTTTAAATGACAAAAATGATGTAATAATTGAATAATAATGTAAATTTATGACCAAAAAATAAACAAATTCATATACAAATAACATATTCTATAATTTTAAAATTAATTCACATATAAATTTATAAATTTAATATAAATAATTATTAATTTATGTAATATGTTTAGAGATAATTTACACCTATAAATTATATATAATTTTCAAGAGAGATCATCTCTTTCATACAAGCAATACATGTAGTTAATTATTTATCTTTTCTGTTTTCTTTGTTTGAAGTTCTGTATTAGTTTAAGGTTGTGATTTATTTTAATACTCAATAAATTCTGATTCCTTAACAAGTGCACTTCAAAGCATTTGGGCAGCATTCTTAATCCTAAATTTATTGCCCCTTATTCTAGTAAAAGGCTATAGAATTTTCATCTGAATTGATTGCCCCTTTTTCTAGTAAAAGGCTATAGAATTTTCATCTGAATTGATATACTTTGTATTTTTAATTCTCATTGAAAATAGTGAGTAATAACTAAAATATTATGGGATTGGTATCAAAATCAATGGTTATATAAAAATGCATTCTAAACATATGACATAATTTATGGGTTAACAAAATAACAAAAGATGCAATTTAAAGAAAATTAATTTCACTATAATTCAAGACAAGCTCAACATAACCATTAAGAATTAAGAGTCAAATTCCTATATTTGTAAAGAGTTATAACCCTTTGTTCTTTTTTCATATTGGATGATGACTAAAGAATTCTTTGAGCAATAGATTTCATATACTTATGAAAGGGCTAAATTTGTTAAAAAAATATTAATAAGCCTTACCCAAATATTTTGGCAAAGAGATACTACAAAAAGAAAATCTAATTAGGCTAATAAGAAACATACGCATAATGAATAATATTTATCATTCATTGATCATCAAGATCAAGTTCATGATCGACTTGAAATTTTTAAAAAATCTATAGTTTTTTAGTGTATTTTATTCAGGTTTTAAGTTCTTGTAGTCCAATATTATTTGGCAAGGGGTTACTATTTTATAAATATTTATTTCTTTAAAGATCTAAGGCAAAAAACTTAGGCATGCAATAAATTGCAATCCTCCAAAAACACAAAAGCACCAAAATCTTGCATGACCATATTTAATTAATCCTATAAAGACAATAGTAAAAATAAATTAGATGTAGAAAAAAATTTTAATTATAATATGATTCTACATTTACTTTTAATTAAACTGACTCTATGCTAGATTCCACACAAGAAAATGTTTCAGAATTAGAACCTAAAATGGAGCAACATCTAAAACTTGAATTTAAGAATTAAAAAAATAGTAAGAATAAATAAAAATTATTGAGCTCGTATATAAACCTAAACCTCAAATAGAATATGAATCTCCCGCTAACAATGAAACTAAACAACTTCTGACTTCTGAAAAAATTGAACCAATTTAACAAATTGATATTGCAACACCTAAAAGACCAGCTACGAAAATTATCTATATGGTTTCTTGATTTATGCACTCATAAAAGAATTTTATTGAGAAAATCAAACTGAGGCAACATACCTATGGATTTATTTATGATAACTTCTTTCAAGAAACTACGAAAATAAAAATTCTATATCTAATTGATTTAAAGATATTTAATTTATCACAATTAATCTTTAAACTAGTAGATTATATTACTTCAAATAGGTTGTTTGTCCATATAATAGAGACATATCATAGTTGCATCTTTTATCAATCATCAAAAGAAAATTTTATGGAACCTAATAAATATAAGCTTTTAGTTTTTCTTTTCTTTTTTTTTTTTCATTTTTCCCCTTCAAAATTAGCAATAGCATGTTCATTACGATATACATAAGTATTTAGCCTTATTCGTGCATGCCTCATACCCTATTGCAATAACAATTGGAAATATGCATAATTAGCATGAGAGAAATTGGTTTAATTTTCATAAGTTTAAGAAAATAAGAGAGTAAGTTTCTTACATTCCAAAATACTTTAATTGATCAACCATTCAAGAATATTTTTAATTCTAAAAGAAGAAATCATGTATTGACATTAGTGTGGTCGACGGGTTCGGTTGTGCGTGTGAGCATGGAGGTTAGCTTGTGCAAGCGAGGAGTGGGTAGGTCGGTGGTAGCTGCCATCGAAAGAGAGGGAGAGATGCCATTAACGGAGGAAGAGATATGCGGCTCAAGGGCTTGATCAATTCTATGCAAAAAAGAATGCGAGCAAGGGACTTCTATCAGTGAAGAGGGGAATAGGGTAGATAGCGAGGGCACTGAGAGTGAGGGAGAGTTGGAATTTTAGATTGAAACTAGTCGGAAAGGGACTTGACGTCAGTGCCACCAAGGTGTACGAGGTCTGGATGATTTTGATAGAAACGTGGATTTTATACAAGGGCTTGATCAATTCTATGCAAAAAAGAATGCGAGCAAGGGACTTCTATCAGTGAAGAGGGGAATAGGGTAGATAGCGAGGGCACTGAGAGTGAGGGAGAGTTGGAATTTTAGATTGAAACTAGTCGGAAAGGGACTTGACGTCAGTGCCACCAAGGTGTACGAGGTCTGGATGATTTTGATAGAAACGTGGATTTTATATATATATATATATATATAGTTTTAATTAAATAAACATTTAATTTTTTAATAATTATTTAAAATTTGATACAACATAGAAAAATTCCTCGCAACTTACTCTGGGGATCATACAAGATGACTACTGCTGTGTTTACCCTCAAAAGGGTAGCCCCCGGGAACCAGAGGGAGGTGCCCAAGGAGAGATCAGGTGGTGGTGGAAGTGGGGGACAGTTCAAGAAGTTGACAGAGAAGGAGATGCAAGAAAAGAGGGCCAAGGGGGTGTGCTTCCGTTGTGATGAGAAGTACATGCCTGGGCATAGATGCAAGGACCGAACTCTTCAGGTCCTCCTTGTTTGTGATAACGAGGAAGACGAGGAGGAAGGTGGGAGCCGGATTGAGGAAGGGAAGAGGAAAAGAGAAATTGCACCTGGATGTGGCAGAAGTCTCTCTGAACTCGGTAGTGGGATTCACTCCGAGTCACACTATGAAGGTGAGAGGAGAGATAGCTGACCATGAGGTGGTGGTGTTGATCGATAGTGGGGCAACCCATAATTTCATTTCCATCCAGATAAGTGGAGTCGTCTGGGAATGGAGCTGGTGGATACGGGCGGCTATGGGGTGATGATAGGCACGGGAGGTGGAAATGGGTAGGGAGTTTGGTAGAGGGGTGGTGCTGAAGATTCAGGAAATCCAGGTGAAGGAAGACTTCCTTCCATTGGAATTGAAGTACTGACGTCATCCTAGGGATGAAATGGCTGGTACCTTGGGGAGACGAAGATCAACTGGGGGACATTGAGGATGGAACTGGTGATAGGGGAGAGAAGGAGGACGATTCAGGGGGATGCGGGGTTGACCAAAGCTGGGGTTTCTCTCAAGTCCCTAATCCGACCCATTCAGCAGGAGGGAGGAGGCTACCTAGTGGAATTGCATAGTTTGGAGGGGGCAGGAAGTGGAGGAGGGGAGGAGCTATACCCTCTCCGTCAGCCGTTGATTCAACAGTTCCAAGAGGTGTTTCAGCCCCTCAAGGATTACCACCGCAGAGGGAGCATGAGCATGCTATTGTATTGAGGGAAGGAGTATCACCCATCAGTGTACGTCCTTACCGCTACCCTCAGTTCCAGAAGGATGAAATTGAACGGTTGATCAGAGAGATGCTGGAGGCAAAGATCATCAGACCCAGCATCAGCCTTTCTCTAGTCCCGTTCTGTTGGTAAAAAGAAGGACGGCAGCTGGCGTTTTTGTGTAGATTACAGAGCACTCAACAAGGAGACTGTACCTGATAAGTTTCCTATACCAGTTATCGATGAGCTCTTGGATGAATTAAGTGGGACCGTGATTTTCAGCAAGATAGATTTGAAATCGGGCTACCACCAGATCCGAATTGAGGAAGGAAATGATCCCAAAACAGCTTTTAGAACTCATGAGGGCCATTATGAGTTCTTGGTGATGCCCTTTGGCCTCACCAATGCACCTGCTACTTTCCAGGCCCTGATGAATAAGGTCTTCAAACCTTATCTCAGACGGTTTGTGTTTAGTATTTTTTGACGACATCCTGATATACAGCAAGTCAGAGGTCGAACATTGGGAACACTTGAAGAAGGTGTTAGAGGTATTACAGGACACCAGTGAGGCAAATTTAAAGAAATGCTGCTTTGCACAAGCCAGTGTAGAGTACTTGGGTCATGTGGTGTCCAAGGAAGGGGTGGCAGCTGATCCCTCCAAAATTGAGCAATGCTAAGTGGCCACTACCAAAGAATCTGAAAGCGCTGAAGGATTCCTGGGATTGACAGGGTATTACAGAAGATTTGTAAAGGATATAGCACCATAGCATGGCCACTTACGGAGCAATTGAAGAAGGATGGTTTCCTGTGGGGGAAGCAGCCACATCCGCGTTCGAGGGCCTGAAGAAGGCAATGACTACAGTGCCGGTCCTAGCTTGCCGGATTTACTCAAACATTCATTGTGGAGACCGATGCATCGGGATATGGATTGGGTGCATACTTATGCAGAACGGAGACCCATCGCTTATTTCAGCCAGTATTGACTGCTCGAGCAAGGATGAAATCAGTATATGAGAGGGAATTGATGGCCATCGTGTTGGCCATTCAGAAATGGCGGCCTTACTACTTGGAAAGACACTCGTTGTCAGGACTGATCAGCGGAGCCTGAATTTCTCTTAGAACAGGATGGTGACGGAGAGCATCAGAGGTGGTTGTCCAAGTTACTAGGGTACGATTTTGAGATTCAGTACAGGCTATGGGTGGAGAACAAGGCGGCCGATGCCTTATCAGATGTATGGAGGAATTGCAGACAGTTGCTCTATTCGTGACTTGGATGCTTGATTGGGAGGCCATCAGAGAAGAAAGCGCTAAAGATGAGAGTTTGGGAAAGATCAGGACGGATTTACTGAAGGAACCAGATAGCCACCGGGATACTCAATGAGGGAGACAAGCTGCTGTATCAAGGGAGGTTTGTGATGCCCCGGACGTCATCCCATCCAAAACCTACTTCAGGAGTTTCATGGGAGTGCCAATAGGGGGCCATTCAGGCGTACAAAAGACATACAGGAGGTAGCTGGGAGCTATACTGGAAGGGATGCATAAAGATGTAGAGGAGATGGTAGCCAGATGTGAGGTCTGTCCAAAGGAGTAAGTACCTAGCTATGTCACCAGGAGGATTACTACAGGCCTTTAGCCTTGCGGTAGAGTATGGAGGAAATCTCTTATGGATTCATAGATGGACTGCCCGTTCAGAGGGATTCACAGTGATCTTAGTAGTGGTGGACAGGTTGAGCAAGTATGCCCATTTCATTCCCCTCCGACATCCCTACCCGCAATAACAGTAGCAACAACCTTTATCAGAGAAGTGGTCAGATTACACGGGGTGCCAGAGGCGATCGTATCAGATAGGGACAAGGTGTTCCTTAGTCATTTCTGGAAGGAGCTATTCAGATTGCAGGGAACAGTGCTCAAGAGAAGTACAGCCTACCACCCACAGACGGATGGACAGACGGAAGTAGTCAACAGGAGCTTGGAAACGTACCTCAGATGCTTGTTTCAGAGACACCAAACTATGGGCGAAGTGGTTATCCTGGGCTGAGTACTGGTACAACACCTCATTTCACTCGCTTCACAAATGACCCATTCAAAGTGTTGTACGGACGGGATCCCCACACTTGGTACACTTTGGGAGCAGTAGTACTCCTGTTTCATCAGTAGAGGAGTATTTGGAGGAGAGGGACCGAGTGTTAGAGGAGTTAAAAAGGCACTTACTGAGGGCGCAGCAAATCATGAAGAAACAAGCAGATGGGCATAGAAAAGATATCCATTTTGAGGCAGGGGATAAGGTGTTCTTGAAGCTTCGCCCATACAGGCAGAAGACAGTCGCCAACAGGAGGAATGAAAAATTAGCTCCAAGTACTTTGGTCCTTATGAAGTGATAGAAAAGATGCGGGCAGTAGCATAATCGACTGAAATACCCCCATCGGCGACTATACACCCAGTTTTTCACGTCTCACAGCTGAGAAGGTCATTGGTGATCACATCGCCATTCCGACTACCGCCGACACTACGGATGAGTTAGAGTGATCCTGGAACCTTTGGAGCTGAAGGGTGTTCGCCAGAAAGAAGATGAAACTAAGGAAGTGTTGATCCAGTGGAAGAACCTTCCTGACTACGAGCCATGTGGGAGCCATCGAGAGGGCGAACAGCAGTTTCCAGATTTTCACCTTGAGGACAAGTAATTCTTTGGGAGGGCGGTAATGTTAGACTGGGCCGGTTGGACCGGTCCAGCAGGACCGGTCCGCATCTACGCGAGACGGACGCGAGAGAGCCCCTGGGCGGAAACGGCTCTG